TTCAAAGGGTTCCGAGTTTTTGAGAGAGAAACCGATACCTAGAGAGAGAAAGCGTCGAACCAGAGTTCTCAAGCGCCATAGATCGATCTTCAACACCATTGGAGCCCGTCTTGAGCTTGGAGAAGTGCGATTAAACGTCCAGAAGCAGGAATCCAACTTCACAGTATGATTTCCGTGTCTGAATCTGCTTTTGCTTCTTTCTCTATGGAGTAGTTTCCCCATTCATCTGGGTATGGAGAACCCTAGATTTGTATGCTAGGTCTGATTGTATGAACCCAAGTACAGTGTTTGTGAATTGATTATATTCGATTGAGGTTTGAATGATTGAATGACTTGAATCCTGATCAAATTCCTGTTGTTTCTGCTTGACCTGGAATGAGAATATCTGCCTAGGTTGATAGAGTACCCTTAATCGAAGGTGGCGAATTGGTGACTTTAGTCGAGGGGCCAATTCGCTATTCTGTACCGAAGTCAATTCGGTAGTGGAGGTTTGGTTCATTAGGGCCTCAATCTGTTTACTCCGGTGGAGGTTAGTCGCCCGCTAGAGACTCAGATTGAGAGGGTCTGGAGACCTTTAGTCGAGACTTCAGGCTAATTGAGAACCTTCCGCAGTATAACTTTCATGAAAACTGAACTTGGTAATTACAATCCGACTTAACTGCAGTCTAGGGGGAAACCATATCCGGGTGACCTCTCTTGACTTGACAACAAACCGTTTACTTGCTTTGTGTTTTGTTTGCTTGAGTTTCACTAAAAGTTCACCGCTAAATAACAAGACTTCACTGAGTAGTCAACACATCTAGGACCCGGGTTGACATTAAAACCCGACCCGCTATACTACGCTTTAGGAATTGGTTATACTTGGCCATTTTCTAGGGTGACGGTAGGAGTGAGTCAGCGTCGTAGCGTAGATTCCGGAGGCCGTCCCCTCCTCCTCACAGATTCCTCGCCTCCCGAAGAGATTGAACGAGTAGAATCCAAAGCATAGCCTCAATTATTATTATGTTAACCCTGGGTACATCTTAGGGAGAAACAGTAACGAATGAAGGTTAGGTTGCTCTTTGTATTCAATTTAAAAAAGAGCAATATGCAAGATGTAGAGTTTGCTAAATGACTAAATTACACGTTTGGTCACGCAAATAATACAAAATTTTCACGTTTGCCACTTGAATTATTTTTCTTTCTTATTCTTCACGAACTTGATGAATCGCTTCATTGATAGTCACCGGCAGTCCAATTCCGTTAAATTCATCCTACATGGCAGTGAACCAAACCTTTTAACTGTTAGTTTAATGGTGTTAGTTTAATGATGTGGCAATTTAAAAATAATATAAAATATATATTAATTTTAAATTAAAAATATTTTATCTTCTCCCAAAGTCACTCCCTCGGAAATCCCCAAATTGCCGAAGCATAGGAAAACGACGCTACATTTCGGCTAGGAATCGAGCCAGGTAAGATAATCAGTATTGAATCCGGATCCAGTCCTTCTTCCCTCCACCGTTGCCGATCAACGAATCAATGCAGTACAGCGGTCGAGTCAAGCATTCGTGAACGTACGACCCGGCGGAAATCTCTTTGACCGCTTCGCTCTCCAGCGTGTCAAAGGCTGGATGTTATAGCCGAGGATGTTGAGCTCGGAGGCGACGGAAGCTTGGCGGTGCAGAAGAAATTGAGAATCAGGGCATGGACGATAGCGGATTCGAAGATGATTTGCTCGAGGGTGCGGCGGAGGTGAGGGAGGGCGAGGCGAACGGTCTCGAGCATGAGGCGCTCTCGGGGTGCGATGACTCGGGGAAGACTGCGGTGGCCGGGGGAGGAGGGAAGCAATGGAAGGCGGTGGAGGGAGTGGAGACGGAGATGGCGACGATGTAAGGCACGGTGGCGTCGGCTTGATAAGTTCCGGAGGGAGGACGATGTGGCTGGAGAGGGAAGGGCGGTGGGTTAGGATGAGGCTGACAGCTACAGGTGGTGGATTTCTATTGGTGTGAATATTTATATATTCTATTATTATTTTTTAATTGTCACGTCATCAAACTAACGGTCAAATTATTTAATTGACTGGCACATCAGATGATTTTAACGGAATTAGATGACCAGTGACTAACGGTGACACGATTAGCAAAGTTAGTGACGAATAAGAAATAAAACTAATTCAGCTAGCAAACATAAAATATTTATATAATTTGAGTGACCAAATTTATAATTTAGCATTTGCTAAACCATCATTAGGGGTGGCCGATAGGTTTTCAGTTAACGGATAACTGGTCGGTTTAATCGATAACCATCGGTTTAATCGATAACCATCGGTTAGCGGCTAACCGAAAATCGATTGCCAGGGTGCTCGGTTGGTGTTTAGTAGAGAAAATGGTTACTTCGACTAGCCGAATAACCAAAGCTGGTTAACCGGCTAACCGAAGCAACCGACCGTCGTTCCACCAACCCAGTATTCGCCTCCACCAAAATGACCTTGTTTCCTCTTTCATCGACCTCTCACCAGTCACCAACCCTATCCACCTCCAACCTCCAAATCCTTCAGGCTTCGACGAGATGACGACCTTCTCCTATTCCTAGATCGCCTGTCGTCCCCCCTTCCCCGCCGACCCAGACCTTGCAACCATGACCCAACGACCTCGCGCAACGCTGCTCCTCCGTCGACCCCGTGCACAGCTGCTTTCCTCGACCCCCATCGGCCTTACCCTCCGCGACTCCGGCGACCCCCACGACTCTGGCGACCCCCGCGACCCACACGACTCCGGCGATCTCTGCGACCCCCAACGCCCGACCCCCGCGTCCTCTTTCGCGCATCAGGTCGTCGACGACTCGCCGAGTCCAGCGTCCGCCGCTCATCGACATCGCCGACCTCGCTCGCCCCAGCTATGTCTCCGTGATCGGTCGCAGTCTCCAGGTGACCAGGTGGGTCGCTTTCTCCACGCCAGGGTCGAGACTCGAGAGCTTAAATGGAGGGAGGAAAGAGAGAGAAGAACGGGGAAAGGATTGTGTGGTGGAGGAATTGTCATTATTGTTTTTATAATGAATTTCACTTAAATGCCAACGTTTTAGAGAGAAGGGTTATTTTTTTCGAGTATGCGGCTAACTGAGCATAAAACCAAAAACTGACCAGTCGGTTTGTCGGTTAACCATGATTCTCTTTTTAGTCGGTTGTCGCAAGGTCTGGGGGGTGGTTCGGCTAACCGATAACCAGGTTTTCGGTTTTCGATTAAACCAAATCCGACCGACCTCCAGCGCTAATCACCATATTAGCTTGTTCGATATGAAAACTGCCTGGCAATGGCCAAATCAATATAAAACGATTAAATTACAAATTAAGTAATTAACAATAAAAATACAATACCACCAATTTATCCGTGTGACTTCCAAAACCGCGTAGAAAGCCATGCACCAGGATCCAACAAATATGTTATCTATTAGGTGAATATCGGTTTGGTTGATGGGCATCTATTACAGGTTTGGGATTTCTGTCGGAAAGGAGGTTGGTATCGGTTTGGTTGATGGGCATGGCGGACCCCTTCCTCTTGCAGATTTGCTGCTTTATTCCTGGGATAGGGAGCGAGATGCGTGTATTGATTTGACTGGTTCTTCACCTTTGAATCAGACTGGGATGACCGATTTTGTGTCGAGCCGAGTTGTTGTTGATGTTGCTCGGCGAAAGTGTGTTAAGTATCGGGACTTGTGCATGGCAGCTGGTTACGGGTTCCTGCCCTTTTCTTTCTCTTCACTGTGAGAGTTGGATACGGATGTTGTGGCTTTGCTCAAGTGCATCCAGAAATTCTCCATGTCTCAGGATGTGGGGTCTCGGGCGGCCGCGTACATTTTCACTAGACTTAGCTTTGCTGTCACTAAGGGAGTCGGAGCCCAGATTGTATCTAGACTGCCCACTAATTTCATGTAGACCTTTGTTTTCCCACAATTAGTGACTATAAATTATAAATATTAGGTGAATACTTTTCTCTTTTTATTAGATATAAGCTTCATCTTATTAGTTATAAGTTCATTTCAATTCAAAATGAACTGTAGTGTGAAATTCATTTTCAAATTAATTCATATGTTTGGAATACTATTCCAAATTATGTTTGGAATATATTTATGATTGAATTAAATAAAAACCTTCCAAACTATTCCAGTCGTAGCGACTGATAGTCCGATTCAAGTCACATCAACACTTCACTCAAAAAGGTAAAAATGCTACATACTAAAACCACTAGTATGTTTACTACTACGTAATCAAGCGTGATGGACGTTATCAGATCTATGATACTATGAAGATGTCCTAGTTATAGGTGTCTTTTTTTAAGGGATCTATTTAAAGATGTTTTGTGTGTTAAAGTTTCCAAATTCACCAAAAATCTTACCTAAACAAGTTTTCACTATAAGGTTTTTAAGAATAGTTTCTCAGAAATTAACAGCTTTCTTTTCTCCATATTTTATTTTCTGTTGCCAAAATCATCGAAAACAAAGTGAACGGGGCCTTAGTTTCATCCTTTCTTTTTTCGTTTCTCTTCTTTATTTGTTTTCGGGTTTGAAGTGTCAAAACAAAAACAAAAGTACTACTTAAAATAATATATTCTTAATCTAATTTTCACATCACTTTGATACAAGCACGGCTGTGCTTGTTTTGGTTTAGAATTGCACAGCTCAAGGTCAATCAAGGAGAGACCTTGGTCGATTGAACCTCAACCCAAAAACATAGGGTTTTAGGCATAATTTTGATGAGGGAAAACCAAAGGTACAACTTCACACACAAGGGAAGAGGCTTGATTGGTATTAATTCGAAGCTCGACCACAATTAAAGTGTATATTCAATGAATATGAAGCAAACGCGTTGTTGGATCACAACCAACACACAACGGGTTTGGGGGTGACAGTGTCACTTTGTTATTCAATCAAAAACTAAGTTTACATCAAGGCTTTCAAGCCTTTAAATAGCAAATTACAATCCTAAGTCGAGGGCTAAACTAATAAGGAATCACAAGCTAACTTAAACACTAACAAGGAAACAAGAATCCAAAATAGAAAAAGGAAAGGAATTGGCCGCAACTAATAGCTTATTACACAAGAAAGTTACTTCCGGCGCAAGTAAAGAAATAGTCTTCCATAGCTACTTTGAGTCCATGGTTCGACGTCTTGGAAGCTTCAATTCAGTCACCCAGCTCCTTGATGTTGTTTAACAAGAGTCCTACTTTCATTCTCAACTCTCGGCTTCCATTGACAAGCTCCCAAACTCTTCGAATAAGGCCCTGAAGTTCCTAGCTCAACCCGTGTTCAATACTTGGACAAATTATGCCTTTGCTCAAGTTTTGATTGTGTATCGATAGCAACTTGAGACCCTTCGTTGAACCACCAGAAGACTTGTTTCCCTTCCATCCATGCTTGGTCATCATGCTTCAACATTCGTACTTTAATGCCAAGGCTTTGGTCACCTTCCAACAATCCCCACTAAGCTTGTGCATCTTCCCAAAGTTGATACCAAAAGACTGTTTTTGGACTTGGTCAAAATTTGCCCCCTCTCACCTTGCGTCTTGATCTCAACTTGAAGCTTCAATAGAGAACTTTCTAAAGCACAAACAGCAAACCAAGTCCTCATCACACTTGCTTAAATATTCACTAATGCCTAAGTTTATCAATTTGCTTTGCCTAGTCTGAGATGCGGGACAACATCATCTAAAAATGCACACTGCTTTGTAAGGGTCGACCATTTTCTCTAAAAGTGTTGGTCTCCACCTCTCCTAGAAGTTATAGGTCATCAAAGCATCTTCTCCACCAGTCTACAGAAGTCACATAAACATCACAACAATTGAACTAAAACTTCAACTGGAAGAAACTCCGGCAAAAGATTAACTGCCAGTCTTAGAAGAATCGAAATTAGGTTTCTTCTCTTGTTACCGATTCAACTCCATGACCAGTCAGACATTGCTTTCTCCTGAAGGCTAGCACCAGCAACGCGTAAGTCTCTGTCATAGCCACCACAAGGACCCCGACATAAACGCAGACTGTCGTCGTGAAAACGTACAAGTATCTGAACCACGAAGTCAACTTAACTCATCAGATGAAATTGTTCTTGGTGAAATTAATTGTTGTGACAAATTCAACAAAGTTATAATATTACTAAGTTGCAGGCGTCGACAGACTTACTTGGGAGAGAAGACGGACCACACAAACAAATGGTTCCTCATCAAGACCAACACGACGGTGTATGATGTCAAGAGGATTGAGTTTAAGCACAACGGAACTAGGCAAGGAAACCCAAGCATGGTCTTGAGAAGCTGGCCCGAGTTAACCGTATGTGCATCAGTTGCAAGATAGTGTGTGGTTTTGACAGAGTTGAACATGACCAAACTCAGAAGAAATAGCAGCGGAGAAGCGTAGGTGATTATGAACATCAAGATACCAGAAAGGAATATGGAGTGACTTGAGATTCCCTACAAAAAATGCAATTCCAACTGGAAGTTAGCTGGCTATGACTTTTCGTTATGTGCATGCGCATGTTTATGGCGGGGATTAGAGCATTCTCAAGCAAATAGGATGAGAGGACGTACGATGAAGGCTCCAGCAACATCGATAGTGGCTAGAGTATTGCTGTTCCCTAGAGCAAAATGGCCGGCCATTCCCAAGTAGTACAGTGATGCAACCTGATAGAGAGAATAAACAAGCATAACTTTCCTGACATTACCACTGAAAATTCATAAGGTGATATGCTTCAGCAAATATACAGACAGAAATGCATAATCGCCGGCCATAACCCATCCATGACTAGTCAGACGCTACCAATATTTGTTCTCAATTCTCAAATAAACCGCTTGAAAATCAAGACACTCCCGAAATATGGAATATGAACTGACCTCAACCAATTCCGTATGGTATTGTCCACTCTGAGAATAACAAAGCATGCTACCCAAAATTTGCACCATAAGCAAGAGGATGGGCATTGCATTGATTCCCTGTTGAAGCAGCAGCTGTAGAAGACAACAGCATATAACATATGCCAGCCCAATCACATAAGAAGAATCTTTAAGTGCCAACAACAGATCCTCATGTTGAATGCCAATAGGAATTGACTGCTTTGAGTTTAAATGATGTCTTGAATGATCATGAGAACTCCCAGCAGGCATCAGCCATGGTGTGACCAAAAAGCTGGTCGTTGCAGAAATACCCAAAATTGCATATATTATCTGGGCCGATGTATTAGAACCATAATTGGAAAATGCAAAAGCATTTTCCTCCCCACGTTTCATGACATACCTTAGAACAAAGAACCCAGATGATATAAAGGAAAATGCAGCAAGAAGAATGGCTTTTCCTCTTGGCCTCGGTAAATATAAAGCAAATAAGCCCAAACTGATCACAAGAAGACCCGAAGCTAGCTGAATAGACCTTATACTTCCACTTCTTGATTTTTCAAGCCACTTAGAAATGTCTGGAAGATGAGTCCAGTTAACTCCACCTTGATGCCAGCCTCTCAATATTCTCCCAGATAAAAGAAGCAATATCATGGAGCAAAGTTGAAATCTAATTCGTTGGTTCTGTTTCTGCAATGTAAGCGAACTTTGAAAACTTCCAACATGAAGAGATCCCAATAGTTGTCGGAGTAGTAACAGGCATGATGTCATTGTAACAAAATGCCAAATATATTGTTCTTCCTCTACCAAGGAACTTGAACTCATACTCATCATAAGGATGAATACAACACTAAGAACAAAGATCTCTTGTAAACACCACTTGCGCACATGCTGGATGGAAGGCGAGACTTCTCTTTGCAAGCAAATTAGGATGGCTAAAAAGATTAGACATGATAAAGCCATCGCAGCGATCCCAAAAGCAAGCAAGCTGACGGGTTTCTGGGGAGGAAAACAACAAAGCTTTATAACAGGGAAGACAAAAGTATGGCAGTAATCATTTTCATATTTTCCACATATGATAAGAAATACTTTATTTTTATTTTGTTTCATAAGATACACTTGGAAAGACTTCAAATACTAAGTAATAAACTAATCATACATACATCGGTTACTCTGCGTGATAACCATTCACTTGCAGTATTCAAGAAATCCCAATATGCAGCAACAGCAACCTTGTAATCATTCCTTGCCTCAGACCTATGTAGATAAATCATTAATATCAAGTCTACACGCATTGATGTTTACTTAAATTAATAATAATTAACAGTATTGAGAAAACATTGCAAGCTGAATATTGATTCATGAATATGAAAATTGTATCACATGCTGTCTCGTGTAACTAAACCCACCTGGAGCCACTCATAGATTCCCAGGAATGACTAAGAGTTTCAGCTTTCGTGTATAAGCAACAAAGAGTCCTCTCAATACTACCACTGCATTCGCCGTTTGTTGACTGAACATGATCAGACAAGCCAACGTCTCGTGAGCCTCCATACGAGAATGCTGGTAATTGTGCCTGAACTAATCTCAGCAGTTGCCACGAATTCAACTGCAGAGCTCTCAGCCTTTTGTCTTCTGTCCCATGAAAACAAAAATAATATATGTCAAAGTAGATAAACATCGATGGATCAGCTAATGCGCACAAAGCCAAGAAGCCAACAAATGAAAGATTATAGTTAGCATTTTCTTTCATACCACGCATCTTGTGTGATTGATTATTAATGTATAACTGATTATTAATACTTTTACTTCAGACATAGAACTTTGATACAGATATCCACCAGCATCTAGGAAACGATCTGCCCAATTTCTATCCAGCTATTTAATATCCACACTCAAAGAACTAACCTGGAAGAGAATCAAATGTTTCAGCAATCAGGATTCCAACATTGTTTTTGGGAATTGGCAGATTATAAAGAAGAGCCAACGTTGGAGTAAGATCAACCTGTGCATATAGACACAACATTAGTCTTCTCTAGGGTTGAAATATATGATTATTAAGGTTTAGATTCTGCCATAGATCTATAGTTTCATTCCCTCGCATATGAAGAAACACTTTGAGCAACAGACTTAAAGTAAACCTCAGAGTTGGAACAGAAGGGAGAGCACAAAGCTGTAATTGATAATAACTTATTTCCAAGTGGTTTGTGAGATCGTACAATTGGACAGGCTGTCAATCCTGTGCAGAATGTATAGTTTGATTACCTTGCATATTAGGGAACACATCGAACAACAGACTTAAAGTAAACCATTGGTACAAAAGTGAGAGAACAAAAGCAGTAAACAAAGGCAGCAAACAAGAGTAACGAAAAAAGCCACCAAAAGACTTGATACATAATTAAACAATCTAGGGAACTCAAAATTAATAGATACACAATTAAGCTTGCAATTTTAAACGAACAAAGAAAAGGCTCTCATAGGAGGTAAGAACTGATGCAGTGATGCTGTAAAATTACCTGATGTATGGAACTGACTGATGCCTGGTCGGTGATTTCATTTTGAAGGCCAATGAAAAGCACTAAGGAATCAGTTTCTTCGTATGAAGAACCTCCATGATTCCCACTTTCAGTCATACCATGGTCACTAACCACCACCTACATACATAAAATCCATCGCATATTAAAAAAAATGTAAATGCAGAGATTCTGAGCATTCGGAAAGGAGGAGGACAATATGTAGGGTCGTCCACATATCCATACCGATCAGCAAACTATTTTGCTACAGAAGAATGACAGATTATTATATCAATAGCCATTGAGAATTTGAAACACAAACTTGCCAGGGCTTTCCATTTTTGAAAACTGGTTCAGACTAATAGGATTCAAATTAATCAATTGTAAAATAATCAACATAGTTTTAAAATCTACGGCACAATAAGAAATGATTATGAGGTAAACTTCGTTATAGAAAACGTCAAAAGATCTAACTGGTCAACCATCCTGATTCATTACTATGGATAATCTCCATGAGCTCACAACAAAAAAGTTTCCTTATGATCCTCAATGAATTATCAACTAAGCATCGTTAATTCAATATGAGTAAGGGACATGGCAAACCAAAAGTGTCCGTTCATGATCATCTCCTTGAGGTTGTATGGCATGTGAATGAATCATCTCCACCACTTCATCCATTTCGGTAAGTTTTGGGCCCATCAGGAAACTACAGTAGTTTAAGACATAAGATGTTCAATAAACGCAAGCAACACTTTCAATTGGTCAGGTCTTTCATCTGAAATGAAGCTAGAACCTGCTACGCCCTCCAATATGTCCAACGTGATCCAGGCCAAGATAGTGAAGAACCTACAAGGAGACAACAACTAAAATCTGAGCACTAATTGTCCAGTGAAACAACTATGTATATAATATAAAGCTAAATTTCTTATTGAGTAACAAAATCGTGTCAAAGAGGTCCAAGTCAAAGATTGAAAACAGAAAGTCACATTCATCAAAGGCGTAACATATTAAGCACTGCTTCACGGGGGGAGACAAATAAATGAGAAAGCTGAAAACGAATCAAGTACAAGAAACTAAAATATAGAGAACACAAAAATCCAGGAAATCCAGCTCGACAAAACCTAGACCAAGTTCTTCAGTGCTTCGTATACAACTCAGACTCATTCGAAGGACTCACCAGAAGATTCCAATCACTTTGGCTAAGCTCCTTTTCCAGATGCCTAGAAACATTGAAGTCGACTTGTACAGTATCTTTAACCTGAGGAAAGAAAAAATCAAAACAGACATATCATTCTTCAAATCCTTTGAATGTAAGCCTAACAAACCTGTCAAAGAACAACCCAGACATAAGACACACAACAAAGATCGTGTAATCTCAGGCTTTTTCAACAGATCTGAACAACTAAAATATATGCAACATTCATCATCACAAACAAAAAATTATGGAACTGAAAAGCAGAACATGTGGGAATAAACAAACTTACGTAAAAGCTGTTAACTCCGTCATGTCTCGAAAATAAACCTGGAAACAGTCTAAGCCAAGTGTCATCTCCCAGCATCACCATCTTCCAACCAATTTTGAAAAACTGGCCTGCAAGAAATCTATTCATCAGGAACTTAAGTCTTAAGATTCAGCAAAACCTAGGAGGATTGAGAACCTATCAAAGTCACAAATCAGATTATCATAGCAATAGTTCAAACTACTAACCAAGAAGATTGTCATCTAACAGAGCCTGAGTGTTAAAATTGAAAGCCACATCCAAAAATCCCCCTATTGCGCCAGAAACCATCGCCTGCAATTTTACACTTACAAATCGATAAGAAATGGAAGACTTTCACAGGATGTATACCTCTGTGACAGTTTGTGAAAGCAGACACTAATAACGACCTTTAACCGAGGCATTGTAACAGTTGGAGGGGCAGCCTTTGCATGGTAGCCAATTGCCTTTCCAGTAGATAACAATGAATGAGTATATGGCATAGCTTCCATCAGATCTTTACGCGGAGGCTGGCCATCCTTGCCAAGCACAAATTCTGCTGGAAGACCATCAATAACCTAAACTGACACTGGTGTACATGACAAACTGAAGCTTTTTTTGTACATATAGCATGAACAGTAACCCTTCTAGAAAAATGTGCATACCATGAGAATTAGTCGGTCAAACGCAGGTGCGATCCCAGAGAGCTCCTACACATAACAGACACCCACCATTACCACCTAATAGACAAGAAATGCCACATAGCAAAGAAACCATCTGCACCGGTACTGATTTTAATAGTGGGATCGATTAGGTTATCTGCAACACTTTGGATCAATTACACATCTCCGAATTCATTTCGGGTCAGCAGCATGATCAACGTTTACTGATAACATAATGCTCTTTAGCATTCTAAAATTGCACAGGACAGCAACAAAAGCACATTTGACATTTTCCAACTGACGGCGAAGAAGAAAGTGCACCTGATACAAGGATTTCAGCTGACGAGGAGGCAAATTGGGCTGTATTTCACTTCCATTCTTACCGGCATCATAGCCCGGCGGATAGAAACTCTCCAGGCCACTGGAAAGGCAAATTTGAGGGAAAACGAATGAATGCTAGACGCTCTAATTAACATAAAACTAGTATATAGCAAGCGAAGAAGGTGAGCTTTCCAAGATAATGAACCTGACGCCGGAGAGGGCCGGTTTAACGGGGAAGAAACCGTAGACGAAGAGCGAGAGGCCGACGATTTGGATGAAAACCGCAACTAGCGTGAATAAGGTTAGTCTGCTGCAAGTCAGCTGCCCTGTTGCTTTGTGCATCGCCATTGCAATAAAGCTTGAAGAGCAAATGAGAGCTGAAAGAGCTTCGGTCTCTGGATGCAAGTACGCTGCCAGGAGAAAGTCAGATATGCAGGCATTTGCTAGATCTTTAGCAACAGATAAACGTCTCCTACTTGTAAGATTTGAAAGATTTAAGGGATTAAACCTGGTATTAAAAATGTAATGATGGTCTTTCCGTAACTCACCAAATAGGAAGTAGAACTTCTTCAAACCCCTGAATGCCTAAAACCCCAGAAGCCAGACAAAAAAGGCGTCGCCGGCGCTGGCTTCGATTTCTCTCGGATGAACAAAAGCCAATATCTCGAATTTGCGCCGTTTACTGTTGACTGGACCAGATTCAAAGTTTTACTGTCTGCTTTCTGAGGCAATCTCTGATGGAGCAGAGAGCGAAATGTGTAGCATTGGTGGGCGCAGGGGTTGTTCTCGGCTCTATGTCCACATTCTTCCTCCTCGAGCTTCTTTCCAGGCAAGTTCTTGTTTGCCCTCTCCTCTCTCAAGGAAACACCTGTAACCCAAAGTGTAACGACTTGTGTAAGCTTTTGCCTATTGCAGAAGAAAGTCTCTCCCAAGTAAGGACAGAGTGAAGAATATTGGATTAAATGGTATGTGCTTTTGTTTTGCCTGATTCCTGGTATTTGGATGTCTGAAACTCAATGTCCATGCTTAAACTTGGATGGGATGCTAGCAAGTTTGCTTCTTTTTATGTGGTAGGTGGTGCGATTCGACAGGAGGTTTCAGTGGCATGCTCAACTTCAGATAGAAATGACGGGATTAGAGGTTCAGACCTTCTAAAGGATGAAATAGTTTCTGAACAACTAACCAGGTAAGTTCAGCTTTACTCTGGATGTATCAAAGCTATTGTCTAAGCTCATTGCGAAATCCTGAGTTTTCATGACTTAATTGGCTTCTAGCCTAGGTGCTGGATGCTTTGCTTTATTCCTTACCATTCATTGCATTGGATTTGGAGTAACTTCGTTTTCCATACTGTCTTGCCTGTAACCCACCGGTCAAATTGAGTTCGTTTTCCTGCTTAAAAGGTTGTTGCTTACGACCTTCGAGACTTCATTAGGCCATCATCATTCTTCTTTCTTCCTTCAGTCCCCATTCAAATTGAATTATTGGCTTGTTCAGTGTCTGCGGCACTGTAACAAGTTTAATTTTGCTCGCATTTAACAGTGAGTAAGTTTCTCTCTTTGCTTTAACCTTTTCATATTCGAAACCTTCTACACAGACCATGATTCATGGATGTTGTGTTATTTATCTTCGTCTGTTGTAGCTGCCTTCTATCTGGTCAAGCGACTTCTTAGGATCCAATCTTCTTGACGCACAGTTTGTCATTGGATTGCTTTCTTGTGGTCATTAGGAACATTCAATTCTTTGGTTTTGAGTCCCAAACCAAGGTGACTGCCTCGTACGTCGTTGTCATTGGTCTAGGAGGTGTTGGAAGTCATGCAGCATCAATGCTGTTGAGGTCAGGTGTTGGAAGACTCCTCTTAGTAGACTTTGACCAGGTATTTTCATTGCTCTTTGTTTTCCCCCTATTTTATGGCTTACCTAAGTTACAATCTTTCTATAGACTCTTTGGTGGTGCCACCAAGATTCTGTACAGAGCTGCATTTTCTCTCCACAAATTATGGAACGCAAATAAAAAATGTGTGAAGGATGGGAATTTCACCTTTAAAGTAGCTTGGCACATATAATTTATTGATGCAGCACTGTAATATTTTTGCTCATGTCATGAAAAGGTCTCAGTTTCTTCCTTAAATCGACATGCCGTTGCGACGAGAGCAGATGTTGGCATTCCGAAAGCTGAGTGCCTGAAAAAGCATTTTTCGTCAATCTTCCCCGAGTGTTCTATTGAAGCAAAAGTTCTTCTGTATGATAACTTATCTGAAGAAGAGATTCTCTCAGGCCATCCGGATTTTGTGCTGGACTGCATTGACAACATTGACACGAAGGTACCACCTTTTGGGTGACCAGCAAACTATCCATTGTGTCTGATGTGCTTTTCTAATCGGAGTACAATCAAAGTGACATTCTTCTTCCCAGACCTTCTTCATCTGATTAAGATACTAAAGTATTCTGTGTTCCATTGGGTTTAAGATAATGGATTTGACAAACTGAAACTTTTATTTTCTGATAGGTAGCGCTTCTAGCTGCATGTGTTAGAAGGGGATTAAAGGTTCTATCTGCAACAGGTGCAGGTGCCAGAGCTGACCCATCCAGAATAAGAGTGGCTGATTTAAGAGAGTCAACCAATGATCCATTATCTAGATCTGTATGTACTTTTATCTCACTTTTTCATAGATGTGCTTATGAATGTGTTGTGTGCTGTTATGCTCCTTGTGGTTTTCTTTCTTAAACAGTTAAACTTGATAAGCATGTAAAAAATAGGGCATTGAAGTTCGAGTTCATCTGTCACTGTCTTGAAACAGAATGGACTTGGACTGCAAAAATCAGTGGAAATATTATTGGAAAAGGATTCCTTAAAGTTTGATATTCATTTTCTGATGTTCGAAGCTTTTAGAGAAAAAGTGATATGTACATGCATTTTTAGCAGAAGGTTCATTCACAAGTGCATAACTTTGTGTTGACTACTTGATTCGTTGGGAAAGGTCTTGATTTTATGTCACTATTGTGCGTACATGCATGTCTTGTGTAATGTCTAGATGTCAAACCTGACTATGTTTCTCTGGTTTAGGTAAGACATCGTCTGAGGAAGCATCATGGTATAGAGGGGGGAATACCTGTTGTCTTCTCTCTGGAAAAGCCAAAAGCCAAACTGCTTCCATTCAAGGGACCAAGTGGAGAAGAAGAGAATCCTTCTGATTATCAAGTGAGGATGCTTCCAATCAGTTTGAACCACTTTTTCAAATTTGTGTTTTATTTTATTTAAGCTTTATCTCTAACTATGAGTCAATTCCAGATAGTTCCTGGATTCAGGGTGCGGATCATTCCTGTTTTGGGCACTATCCCTGCAATCTTTGGCCAAGTGATGGCTTCCTATGTCGTGACACAACTAGCAGGGTTTCAAGTGGAAATGGAACCTGTTGTTAATTTGGATACGGAGCACTATCAAATGCTTCATCAACGCCTTATTGAACATGAGGAGTCCCTGTATGGCACAGCCATGCAGGTTCAGGTATGGATATGGATATACACCTTATACCTTCTCGCGGGCGAATCCTCATAGTTGATTAGTTCTTTGCTTTCCTGTTAGTCTTAACTTTTTAACTATTACGCCACTAGTTGTGAGAATCTGGCGTGGGCATATCAACATACATGTGTCTCCTTTTTGTATGATACTAAAAGAATTGTATCTCTGAATCACCTGTGTTTCTTTCTAACTTGTATGTGCCCTATTCTTTTGTAGGTGGATGTGGAGGAAGTGAAGTACATTGTGAAAGAACTCTGGCATGGTCGAAGTGCCAGAGAACCATACGCCAAAGATGTTGGACGAGGGATGTGGCGAGCTGTTAATGAATTAATGCTTGTAAGGTATGAGCACTTGTAAAGGAAATTTCTTCTTTGATTCTGCAATTCACATAGTCCTACATCCTGAAAGGACCAACTACTTCAGTTGTCTTTTTGTCCATTCAAGTTTTATTATCTCTGCAGATGGGACTCAGAGAAGCCAGCGTCAGTATCAAATCTAATTCTTCTAAAATTTATGGAGGTATCGTCTCTTCTCCGACAATTTGGGGATCTCCAGTGTTATATTTTCACATGTTGCATGCAACAGTTTGGTTCAGGCAGCTCATAAGTATTTTGGGAGAAAGCCCTTACCTGCTTGGTATTTTGGTGACATTTGATATTTTCTCTTTTATTCCCAAAGAGAGAACGAGAAACTGTATGGAAAGAATAGAACAGATTTTCTGTGCAAAATCTATCCCCTTGTTGGAAGCAAGTGTCAATGGCATTAGTTTTAGATGCTTCCCATTTTCTGAACCGAATCTGGCTTTTCTATAAGGTGGAAGATGATCACAGCTGAGATATCCAATGCGACGTTCTTACTAATCAATCACTGTTTCTTTTTTGTGTGCAGGCTGATGAACACGAATCAAGAACATTGGATGATATAAAGGAGAAAGAACCAGAATTTTTCCAGACGGTGACTACTGTCTTGAAGCGAGCACAGCTCGAATTTGGCTCCGAATGACTTCTTAGTTATGTTATGCCTAGGCACGTTGTGGCTTTGTAGCAATCACAGGTCTCTTCTTACTTCTTTCTCTGAGGCCTGAGCTACAGATGTTTGTACAATACCTGATTCTCAAAGGGACCAAAAAGAGGCCAGGAAGGCCTGCCGAGACATCGTGCAAGTTCTGCATAGACCTGACTCCTGAGTCCTTCCTTTTTTAGCGGACTGAGCTTCGCCAATTAGCAAGAAAATTAGCATGGCTTTTGAAATACAGTTAGTTGGTAACGTAAAATTTAAGTGAAATTATGTACTCAACCAGTCAGTTCGATACAATAAGGTATCAATGAATATTAGTTGTGGCAAATTCGTGGTTTTCCATCGCATTGTACGAAATGTTGAAACTGGTAGATTGCTGAAATGAGTGGATTGTGATCCATGATGAAAACAAAATTCTGAAAGAATTAAGAATGACCTGTGCAATTCAGTACCAACTAACCTGCATAGTTTAAAACAATGTAGATTACAAATGCTACAACTGTTATACAAGTTACCAATACACAGCTTCTTCAATCCAATCGCACTACCAAATCAGATTCAGAAGCCAAAATCCGTCCCCATAGAAATTACCTCCCTTGAACCCGCTCTCCCTGACAACCAAAACCATAACATATACAAATGCGCAATAATATTACATAGAACACGTGGGCGAAGAATACATATTCGTATTTTCCATTCACGACTTCACATCTCTCAAAACACCCCCTTTCTCAAGTTCACTAACCAGGTCCCTAAGTGATGGGACCTTCATAGCTAAAGTCCTATACAGTCTTGAATACCGTGCCCTCGTCCCATCTGCAGTCCTCGCCAGCGCGAGCAAGCTCAGAGCCTCGGGAAGCTGAGAGAATGCTTGTTTCATTTCCTCCAGGTCCAGGTTTTCGAGAACAGATGGTTTTGGAACCACTCTCACTATCTCGCCGCCTTTGGGTTCTTGGACCCGTGCATCGGCCTTGATTACCAATTCTGATCTCGAGTTCGCTCCACATTTGATGATGAAGGGAGTTGTGGACCCCGTATTGAACTGCAGGACATTCCATTGTGCCACGTCAATTTCGGTGCCGGACCCCACAGCATCCACTGATGGTTTCCGACCTTGCTCGAAAATAGCATCGTCTTGCTCGGGGATTGACTGCAAAGTTGAAGAAATGTTGGAATCAGGATAGTCAAGCTATAGATTCTACATGGATCATGCCAAAAAGAAAACTGTCAAAATTGTCATTTGCAAAATAGGTTTTTCGTTACTCAAGGTGAGACTAAGTGTGAGATGAAAACAAAATACCTCAACTGAGCTGCGAGCATCTGCAATTTGCCTTTGTGCACAAGGATGATCAATCTCGAGAAGAGATGGCATGCGTTCCCCAAGTTCGTCGAGAGAAGATAGCAATGCTTTCTTCTTACTTTTACTCAAGGTGTTAACAGATGATTGTCGCAATATGTCCTATGAAAATATCCAGATAGTCAGTGTTGTATCCAAACTTGCTATATCAAAGCATAAGCATATCGTAAATATGACAGTAAATAGCGCGGTGAGAGGTTAACCTTGACTTGTTTCAATATGCCATCAAGTGAGATTAGAGAAGCTAATCGAGCATCCTCAGCAGCAGTAGAAGGGTTGTGAATAGGTGCACTGCTTGCCAGTGCTAGAAGAGCGGCATCACTTTTCATTTGCTGCAAAATCTATTCAATAGAAAAGAAATAGAAATTAATGAAGCCCAACTATTAGGATATAATGGAATCCCTAATAGAAAATGGAAGAGGCCTGCCTTTCTTCTTTTATGATCAACAGACTCCAATGCTGATCGTAATTTAGCTACTTGAATTGCATCTTCTGCTTCTTCTGTTGCCAAGGTTCCCGCAATATCCTGATCAGGAAAAAAAACCCAGTAAACAAATGCCTGAAAAGGCTCACTGATTGCAGTGGTATTATGCGAAGTTAGAGCCACTACTTCAAGATAATTTGCCTTCTCAAAAGAAAGCATCAACTTGTCTGCGATTACATGGTTTAGAAAATATATCGGATTTTCCAGGCAACAGCTAATAAGGGAAAATACCTTTAAATGCTGCATTTGGGAAGTATAGACCCGCTTAGCATACTCTGATAGAAGCTGCCCAAGTGCGTCTGTGCTAGGAGGCAATGCGGCTCCAAGTCCCGCCATCCAACCATCCATAATTGCAGTAGAAAGGAGCTCCAATTGACCAGTCGTCCCTCCAGAAGCATCATCTCCGGTGACAGAAAGAAAATCAAAATTTTCTGCCAGCCATGACCTGATCTGACGCTGCAGCTCACCGGCTGGAGTATGCACAAAGAGAGCAGCAAGACCCTTATTCCCTATGGCAAAGCTTTTTGCTTCTTCCTGGATTTCTCTCAGCTTCCCACCTGTAACTTGCTGCCTCCACACGTCCTGTACAGGAGATAAAAGTTCAAATGCAACATGAAGAAAACGTCAGGTAGCTCATGATTTCGAATCGAAAGACGATTAAATTCAGTTACGAGACAACAAGTACCAACTGATAGAAAAATGGACATGCAGACAAATAAAGACAAGTTATGGAGTTTCTGTTTTGCAACAAAAGACAGTTCAAAGGTTCAGGCACATCAGTTATCGAAATAGTCAAAGTCTCGAGATCAACACTTTTCCAAAAGCCAGGGGAACAGTACAGAAGTAAACAGGCAGTATGCATCACAGCCTCACCTGATCAATTCCTCGCATCCTCAACACAACAGATGACAACTTGGACTTCTTTTCTGGCTTTATATTCACTTTAAATCCCTGGATCTGCTCCTCAGCATAACGTACAGGAGATCTTCCAGGACTACTGCCACGGCTTGAACTTCTGCTTCTTCCAGTATTTGCCCTTTCCAGAAAGCGCTCGACAGGAGATACCTGCAGGTGGTGAGGAATAGGAAAAACAATTATCTTATGAAATCATATGAAGCATATCATGCTTTGCAAAACAACAAACCGAATCAGATGAGCGAACGTTAACCTTTATTGATTGCAGTTCTGGTGATCTTGCAAGTAAAGATCTTATGTACAAAATGCGAACACGAGAAACAAGCATGGTGTCCATCACTCTTTTTGGCTCCATTTTACGGATGAAGGAGAAAACAGCATCTCGGATTTCAGCCAGTATTTCATGCTCCCTTGAAGCACCAGCTTTAATAACAGCAGCCAGAACCTGCAAAAAATAGCAGATACCATCAGCAATGCCTTCAGGCTTCAGGATAAGCTATAGATGCTTACTAAAGAATTCAAAAACCTACAAACACAATGACATTGACAAGATCAACACAATATTTGGAAATCATATGACGGCTTCCCCCAAAGGACCTGGCCCAGGAACCAGAATGAACATTCACATCCACAAGAAAGAAAAAAAACTTCAGGAATACTCATATCTGTCAACTCCTGTATTCGCATCAAAGAAGACACGGGTCAATAACAAAGGCTAATGACGAAAGCATAGATAACATAAATTGCTCTAGATGAAAATTATTACTCAGATGAAACCTTGGACTAAAAGTTATAATAGGGAAGAGGCGTCATGTGACCTATACTTTAATACTAGTTTCAATGAATCGTGGAAGAAGTATTGTGCTTGCAATGATTGCAAGAATTTCAACTCACGCCCGGCATTAAACATTAGGGTGCATAATAGTAAAGACTTTTGGCAGAGCAAACTAGAAGGGAACTGTTGCACTATCAGTCAGCATACCAACATCAAAAGCTTGTTAGCTCCATCTGAAATAGCAGCAAGGCTGTCTTGTTGTTCAGGATCAAAGTCATTTAGAGCAGCTGTAAGATATTCTCCTGCTGGGGTCGTCTTGACCATCTCTGAGCTAGATTTAACCAAGGCAACAGTTCCGTCAGGTTTGGCCGCAGCTAATGGTGAAGGAACAATATTTGTGGACTGTCCTGTGTTCGCATCATTCCTGACAAAGGGCACCATAAATATATGTAAACAAAAGACACATACAAAGAAAAATAGAGAACTAACAGGATAACTAAACTCTTCTTAGGTCAACACCTTCCAAGGTCCCGTGGTTGAGTACTGACAGTGCCTTTTGGTACTGGACTTGAAACCTGCCAAGGAAACTATGTCAGTAAAGTGGGGGAAAAGCTTCACACTCAATCCATTAAACATTACGCCCAACTATGCTTCTAACGTCACCCTAATAGTAGAATTACACACATTCAGCATGCCAAAGATTGGAGAAGCACAACCTAAAATAAATAGAACATTTCACTACCTAGCAGTAACAAGGTTGAGCTTATTGTTTGAGAAACATGCCTAAAATGACCATATGTAGCAGATACACATTGAAGACCAAAAACAAGAACCACACACAGTAGCAAAGCTGATGATGGATAGATGGGTGAAACAGGGTTGCAGTATTAAAGATATAATGGTTGCTGAAGCACTCAACACACTGACACGGAAAAAGCAGAATAGACATGTTTCATATTTACCCCAAGAATATAAAGGGAAAATATTTTGTACACTCCATCAGCCATAAGGGAAACAGAAAATAACAATCACCTGTGGAGATGCACTTAGTGAGGCTTTCTCAGTTAATCTATCAAATAGCTTCTCATTCTCTTCATGCAACCTCTGCACAAAAGATAAGAAACTATTAGAAAAGTTTCTGAAGATAAACTTACACTTCATTCCATTCATAATAAACCCAGAAGTTCAGCATTAGACCAAAGCTCCTCGGTAATTGAACTTAAGCATGCCATGACCAATGGAGCTTCAACAGACATACCTAAAAACATAAAGAAAGGTAAAACCCACCTGTTCCCCCTGCTCTTCCACATATGTGGTTGTGATGAATTCAGGAAAGGAGAGCAGTGAAGAGTTACATAAATTGAATGATTTATCCATAAAGCCAAAGCAATGCACTAGAACCGTTCGGTGGTTTAAAAAGGTATGGTTATGAATTCAAATCCATCACCAGATGTCATAGCGTCAATGGGTATCAGCTTTTAACTGCTTACCTCTATAAGTGCATCACGCTTTCTGAGTTCTTCCTCAAGTTTCTTGGTAACAGAAGAAGAATCCAAATCATCACTAGTTGCCTTGGAATTTGGTGATACACCCGGCTGTTCTGTGCCAATCAAAGACCTAGCCTCACTTGAACGATTGGCTTCATTGAGTTGTGATTCTAAGCTTTGAATTTTAGCCTACATAAGATTACAAAATCCCGTGCAGTGAATTCGGCATGTAAATCATAATTCTTTATCAATAAAAGCCTAACAAGCGATAAGCTATGAGATTTCATTCCTACCCCTACCGAAGTGGGGGATAATACAGCAGCAGGGGAAAGGAGAC